TTTCCAATAATGTTCCTAACATTTACATATACAATAAAAAAATGCGGTAAGTATTTAGCTGATGAGAGAGAATATTAATTAAGTTTCATATGGAATGAAATCTAATCTTGATATGGAATGATGCTGTACGAATGTCATAGATTTTCATGGAAATTGTGCCGACGATTAATAACAACGACGACGCTTTGTTTGCACATATTTCCAATAATGTTCCTAACATTTACATATACAAATAAAAAAATGCGGTATTTAGCTGATGAGAGAGAATATTAATTAAGTTTCATATGGAATGAATCTAATCTTGATATGGAATGAAGCTGTACGAATGTCATAGATTTTCATGGAAATTGTGCCGACAATTAGTAACAATGACTACGCTTTGGGAGAATCGTTGGGGGGGAGTCTGTCGATTATGCGTATAAAAGTCATCGTAAGGTAGATGGTGTGTATCAGTCATCGTATGGATCCCATTATAAAATTTAAAAAATTGAGAAATTGTCCTGGAAGTAGTTGGCCAAGTACTGATGACTACAAGTCTTTAGCAGAATCGAACGAAGAAAACGATTTTTTTTGCTATGAAGTTTTGCCATCAAGTCCCATTCCTGCTTGTGATCTGAGGATTGATTACACGCGATGGAATTTGTCGACGTATCATTTTCGGAGAGAAATAGGATTAGTGACGCCCACAGATGTGTTGTGGATCAAGATGATGACAGCATTTAATCGCTCGTTAGTGGGTTATCGATTTACGAAAAATGGAAGCCAGTGGAATAAAATATATTATGACGCGCGATGGATTCCTACGCCCGGAGAAACAATAGGGGAGTTTGTGTAAAAAATAAAGAGGAAGACTTTCTTTGCTATGAAGTTTTGCCATCGAGTCGCTTTTCTGGTCGTGTTCTAAAGGAGAATGTGCGATGGAATGTTGCGACGTATCATTTTCGCAGAGAGATCGGAATAGTGACGCTGCGTGAGTTGTTGTGGGACGCTGATGGTATGTAATCGTTCATTATTGGATTATCGATTTGTTAAAAAAAATGAAAGCGTTTGGAAGAAGATCTATTACGATATGCAATTGATTAGTGTACCTGTGGACAATTTCGGAGAAACTTTGTGGCTAGGACTAGTGCAGAAAAATAAATCAGATGGAGCCTAATAATGATAATGCTAGAGATGATGAACTTTATGATCTGGCTAGGTATATCGTATAACTTCGTATAATGTATGACTGAGTCGACAAGGCACACAGGGGATA